AAAAATGGGATTACATAGCTAACTCAACTTAAAATCAAAAAATGCCGATACCCCCTAAATGATGAAAACATGATGACTAGAACAGAGATTTTAAGCTTACTCAGTACTAGTTTTAAATCGAGATCACGAATTTTTAGCCTCTGGCATGAGAGAGAACTGAGTACGATTAAATACACCTCGCTTTCACAAGTTAGTTGTATTGGCCCGGATAGTTAAGAGAAACAAACAACTTCTTTTCTGTATATATGGGAATATGTTTTTATAATATCAGATGTTCGAACAGATTTTAAGGTGCTCGGTTGGACTCATGGTCAAAATCGTCAGAGCTGTGGAAATCACAGAATTATATATTTCCGATGACAACTTTAGTAGATAGCTGGCCAAAAGAGTTTTTAGGGTTGGAATTAATTTCGTATAACTTTAAATAGCTACGCTTTGGCCTCACGAATATCTCCTCTTAGAGATTATCCCGACAGAACTCATATATATTATTCCCAGAGGTTAAATATATTTAATGAAACCAGCATAAAAATCCATCACCAAGACCCTGAAATCAAGTCTATATTCAAAGTAAGTACGCTGACTCTCCAAGATGTATCTAAGGTCAGCTATGCAACCATTAAATAAAGTGCATAAGATCTTTAATTAAGGACATGAATATATATATATATATATATAGTCAACAAAATAATCTCGTAGAGGATATCTGACCGGATCAAGGAAATGGAACAGTAAATCACAGAATAGCCATAAACAAATGAAATGAAATTGAACTGCCAGATAAGAACTTGCCCAATGCGATCTCGATAAACAAGACTTTCTTTAGCCAAGCGCATAGCAAAGCATACTTCTCCACCAGGAGCTTGACTCTCATGTCTTGCCGCAGCTGATGCCGTTTTTGGAGTTGATCGGACCATCGATCGACTAGAATTTAACCCCATTTCATCGCTGGCATCAGCAAAAAAAGGTGGATTGGCCATTACAATATGAATGTATGTTGGAGGAATGAAAGGAGTCATGCTTATAGAACAAGGGGGGACGGAGTGGCTCTTCAACGTGCCACAGGTATCTGCTCCAAATAAGAATCCAAGATACGAACCAGAGTCAGTTGCACGCAACACTAAACACAAGAATAAGTAATGGAGACTATTAATAAGAACAGCATGAGATCAGGAAATGAGCCATAAATTTGGTTTCAATTCTAAAATCAAAATCAAGTTATATTTAAGGTAATCTGAAAGTTGGAAACTATATTGTAAGTCTAACAAGCTTTAGGCAATGGTTGTCAAAAAATCGAGACAAATAAAGTAAAACTTCGTCAGCCCATAGTGATGCCAAACTTAATAACACAAAATGCGCAAATATTTTGGAAATATTAAGGAAAAATATACCAGGTAAATTAGTAATATGAGACACACGTTTAATCTTATCTTCAAGTCTGTTTTTGAAAACATTCATTATGGCGAAAGAGAAGCTTCTAGCGTCAATTTCAGTGCCAACGAAATTCCAGTCATTTTTTCTTGCACCAAGCAAAGGGTATATACAAGAAGCGCCAACACCGATATCTAATATGTTTATAGACCCCTGATCGAATTTAGTATCTAATATAAATAAATAGTATAATACATTAGGCATACGAGACAGCAAATCTTCGATCCAGAGGATGTAATTCATCCTTAGAGGAACGGTCGGAATCATTCTGTCAAGTGGAAAATCGACTTCAAGATTGAATTCAGATAGAAGAATTGCTTTGCTTAGTGCAGCTAATTGCTTTGGCTGCTTAAAGTCGACTACGAATTTCCCTTTCTCATCTTGAGCAACAGCTTCCCTAAAAAAATCATAATTTTCAGCAAGCTTTTGAAAGTTTGGCTTAGTCCTAAATGGGTTTCTTAGATGCATATATTTATTAAGGGCCATTTCGGAAACTAAACATCGAAACGGGTATGGACAAATTGCGCGGCCAAACCGGCAAATCTGAAAATTATGAATAACGGTGAGCTTCGATCAATATGTAAAAGATAATGTTAATAGACCCTTTACTACTATTTTCTAGAAAATAATTTAGACTATGAATGAAATGGTTACTTTATTGACCATATTTGTGTACTAATGGAGAAAATGAATAGAATAAGATAAAATAGAAATTTTTGGTGAATAAAATTCCCGAGTACTATAGCTGGGTTATTATGGTTAGACTGGATTTATATTTCAGAGTGCTCCGCCTGTTTCAATGAGGAATGAGCAACTAGTTTACTGCGACTATTTAGCTCAATTTAAGTTAGTCATGCGAGGACGGATTAATAAGCGAATCCATTTCAATTCGCTTATATCTTATTCTGATAAGGTGGGCTTCTCTTGGTTCTTGGAGCCAAAACGAGATCAAAAAACTTCTATACAACGAAAGCAAACTTCGACCACACAAAAGGCCACATCATCTTGATCTTCATATCTTCGATAAGTATTTCCTATTCCACTTTCTTCCACCGTTCCTTATATTCAACGTATTCCATTATCTATTATTTTCAATGGCCTCTCTAATCATTTTTTAGCAACAGACCTACCATAATCAGCAAACTTACTAGTGTGAGACCATTCTATCGCATATCCGGTTTCTACCATGTTATCTGCCACTCTTGACCATTGGACACAGCTTCCTTTACAAGCATTTTTCTGTTCCCACAATCTTTGTCGAATAGGTCGGCATGGCTCACCAATATAAGATCGACCACATGAGTAAACAATCTCGTAGCAACCGGCTCTTGTTAATGGATAATATTTATATCTAAACGATTGCAGAACAGAATAAAGTATGAGGGTTTCTTTAAACACTATTTTTATCCTCCACTTTCTTACTTATTAGCCTTACTTTCCTGAAAGAAGGAATGGTGGCAAAATTAGGACATGGAAAAAGGTGTCAGCTTGTCTATCTTTGGCTAAATAGTCTCTGCCTGAAAATATATTCCTAAGTAAAGTGTTATTATTCTCAATAGGGCTCAAAATATAATTTTTTTCCAGGAATATATTTGTCAGCCTTTCACACTTTTTAGCCAAATGTTTCTGTTATCCGCTAGCCTCATACTCATAAAAATCATTGACTTCAAAATTCCAACGTTAGTTTTGTAACTATGATTGGTAATAAAATTAAGCAGAGGCAACATATCTTGGCTTACTATAAACGTATATTTTTAACTTGCCCTTTTTTCTAATAATGAGAGCATCCAGAAATGAAAAAGATATATTCTGTTTAATTTCCCTTGTGAACTTAATGTTCCTTTCAGCCTGGTTGAGTGAAAGTAGGAAACTATCTAAACCTTCCTTGTCATGAGGCCAGATGACAAAATAGTCATCCATATATCTAACCAACAATTCGGGTATTAGTATTGGTTCTCAAGTCTTGCCATATTATAGTTCGCCAAGATGGGAGCCAAGCAAAATCCCATCGCTAGTCCTTGTCTTTGTTCGTATAACTTAGCATCCGAAATTAGATATGTGCAACTCATAGATAGGTTAATGAGTCTAATTATGGGCGCTACACTCAGCTTTATTCGTTGTGCTATCTCCGGATTCTCCTCTAGAGTTTATATCAGAGCTTGAATAGCTTCTTGAACAGTAATGTTTGTGTACATAGGCGCAACATCAAAACTTATTAGCCTATTCTCCTTTGAATGTGTCTGCTGAGCAATCAATTTCAAAATATCATAAAAACATTGAATTGAATATATGCAAAAATTGGCAGTTTTTCTTAGGTGTATGCTTAAAAAATGTGAAAGTTTATGTATTACAACTATTTTATTATTTACAATTAATCTTTTACAGGAATAAGATCCAGCTCTGATGATGCCCATCATTTGATGGACGAAAGTTCAACCAGTTTTCATCCAAAATGAGGGAGAAGATCTCATTGGCAGTGTCAACCTGGACATCGTATAAAAGCCAAACGGCTGCAGTAAAACAGGATTCAGCCGTCTCTTCTGATGAGATCGACCTACGAATCTCTTTTTATGCACTTTTACATGAAAGGAAAGTCCCCCAAAATTCAGTGAATATTAATAGGTTGTAACAATGATAGCAATTGTTTGACCATATTTTGGCAACTTGGCCATTTTGGTAGGAAGACTTTGAAGAACGCACGTAGTCTGTAGACCATAGTATGAATGATAATATCCCTGGTCGTCAATTAGCATTGCCAGTCTTAGCACCCCACTACAACTCGTCAAAGATACAAGTGAAGCTGAGCTTTTGACCAATTGTCTGCTAAACAATCATGGTATCTCTCCTTCCGCCTTGGACTAATCACCAATACCATATACTCATATCACCCCTTAATATTACAATTTTTACTTTCTTATATAAATTTAGTATGGTGTGCCCTTTTGAACGGATTTCATGAGAAATCTCCACACCACAGCACCAAATTTCTTAGCCCTCAATCACCTCGCTTCCACTACCACAACTTCATCCTTGTGCTTTGAATGTTGATCAGAGACTGCCCTATTGTTACGCAGTCCTTCTTCCATAGGTCTTAACAGAGTCTACCTCTTGCTTCGTAGGATCAATCTTTTATCTCACCGTTTCAAGTATTTCGCTCGAACCCTGCCACTCCATCTGTGCTACTCGATACGTTATTTCATACACTCTGCCTCTGAAAGACTTTGAAGCCAAAGACCTAGAGGAATTCTTATAGTCAAGCTTTTGTATCATGGACCATTTGTATGATCAAACAGGTATACTGTCAGTCAACTAGTTTTAATCTCCACCGCGTTCAGCCTCTTTCTATTCGTAATACATAGTCAATCACTTCCTATGCCTG